AACCCTCAAGCTCCCAGGCCTCTGGTAGAGGACCCAAGCTTAGAGAGGGATAACCGCCCGCGGAGGGCCAAAGGTGAGTGGACAATTTTATTTTATATATACACGACTGTCCAAGTGACCAAAATAAAAAAAGCTTGATTCATTCATGTGCAGTGGAGTTGGTATTTTCTTATGAAAGCCTTCTAAGATTCCCAGCATGCTCTGTGAGTCATGTGAGGAGTCCGCCAGGGTCACGATCACGTCGATCATTGACATGGACACCAAGACGGCGTCCAGAACGTTCCACCAGCAGCGTGCATAAGAGTCCGGCCCCAGGACCAGACCCAGAGACACCACCTACAGGCAGCACAGGGTAACAGCATGATCCAGACATTCATCCAACTAAAGCTTGAGTTCATTTTTTTACAGTTCAAAAAGCCTATAGTTTTTTTGTTTATTGTGAAGATATAGAGATAAAATACAAGTGCAGACGTACAAACAAATACAGATACTATAAGATATCTGATCTGTACAATTCAAGAGTTCTGTAAAGTCGAATTCTAACTCTACAACATGAACTTATTGTTCTTCTTCTGCTGTAGTTTACCTTCAGGATTAACTCCAGGAAGAAGAGTCCAGTGAAGAGAAAGTCCAAGTTGGTCAGGACGATTTGCTCCTGCAGACACACACGTCACGTTCTATTGATGGATGTGTTCATTTGAGCAGAAATGTTACATTTATAAGTATTTACAGTACATACAGTGCCTTGCGAAAGTATTCGGCTCCCTTGAACCTTTCAACATTTCGCCACATTTCAGGCTTCAAACATAAAGATATACATTTTTTGTGATGAATCAACAACAAGTGGGACACAATCGTGAAGTGGAACGAAATTTATTGGATAATTTAAACTTTTTTAACAAATAAAAAACTGAAAAGTGGGGCGGGCAATATTATTGGGCCCCTTTACTTTCAGTGCAGCAAACTCAGTCCAGAAGTTCAGTGAGGATCTTTGAATGATCCAATGTTGTCCTAAATGACTGATGATGATAAATAGAATGCACCTGTGTGTAATCAAGTCTCCGTATAAATGCACCTGCTCTTTGATAGTCTCAGGGTTCTGTTTAAAGCACAGAGAGAACCATGAAGACAAAGGAACACACCAGGCAGGTCCGAGATACTGTTGTGGAGAAGTTTAAAGCCGGATTTGGATACAAAAAGATTTACCAAGCTTTAAAGCTTTCTTTTTAACTGTGCATCTGGCTGTTCCTACACCGGTGAGGAACTTATGAACATCCGACCCACCGTCCCCATGGACCTATTGCCTGTTTTCTTGGCATCTGCGGCTGATTTAGTCCATGTTCTAGCCAAAAAAGTGTGGGCCCGTAAAAGGGGAAAGCGTGGAGGCCTGCTCGTGCGTCTGAGGAGGAGAGGAGCGCACGGCTCTCCCCGGCATTTTTCTCTCCAACGTACGCTCACTGGGCAATAAGACGAACTCAGCCTGCTCATGAGAAGAAACAAGGACTTCATCCTGTGTCCTCTGCTTCACTGAGACCTGGCTAAATGAGCGGATCCCGGACTGCGCTCTGGAGCTGCAGGGCTTTGGGCTGTTCCGCGCGGATCGCCATTGTGCGCTCTCAGGGAAGAGCAGAGGCGGTGGGCTGTGTTTCTACGTCAATACAAACTGGTGTAACGATGTGACAGTGATCTCCAAGCACTGCTCTCCTGCTCTGGAATATCTTTTCATTCATTGTAAACCATTTTACTCCCCTCTTGAAATTGTTTCATTCATTCTTGCCTCTGTTTACATACCGCCATGCGCGGACGCAGAGCAAGTACTGTGTATGGAACGTTTATACCCGGACTCTCTGATTATTATCCTGGGGGATTTTAATAAGGGGAAACTTGAGCCAGGAATCACCCAAATACAGACAGTTTATCAAATGCCCGACCAGAGAGGAGAACACTCTGGATCACTGTTACACCACCGTGCGCGGAGCTTTTCACGCTGTTCCCAAGCCAGCCCTCGGCTTCTCAGATCACTCCATGATACATCTGGTTCCTGCTTACAGACAGAGACTAAAGCTCTCGAAACCTGCAGTGAGGAGCTCCAAAGTGTGGTCTGATGAAGCTGTGGAAGAGCTGCGCACATGCATGGAATCTACAGACTGGGACCTTTTCAGAGCTGCCACAGATAGTTTGGATGAATACACGGACACTGTGACCTCATACATTCACTTCTGTGAGGATAGCATCATTCCAACAAGGACCAGGGTCATCTATAACAACGACAAACCCTGGTTCACTGCTAAACTCCGGCAGCTCAGGAAAGCAAAGGAGTCTGCTTTCAGGGAGGGGGACCGCAGCGACAACAAAGCAGCTAAATATCAGTTCAGGAAAGAACTGAAAGCAGCCAAGTCCCGGCACAGAGAACGACTACAGGAGCAGTTTGGTAACAACGATACTGCTTCTGTCTGGAGGGGCCTACGGGAGATCACCAACTACAAACCCAAAGCCCCCCCTGTGCTGACAACCACAAGCTAGCTGACGAACTGAACTTATTTTTCAGTCGCTTTGATGCTGCCCCTGACACCTCCCCCTCCCCCACCCCCAACTACTCTAACGACCCACCCATCAGCTCTGCCCCCAGCCTAACAATAGCCTCTAAAGAGACTAAACAACTCTTCTTGTGGCTGCACCCCCGCAAAGCTCCTGGCCCGGACCACGTGTCTCCGGCCACTCTGAGATACTGCGCCAGTGAGCTTACTCCTGTGTTCACTGACATTTTCAACACCTCTCTGCAGTCCTGCCATGTCCCGGCCTGCTTCAAGATAAAGCACAGTAGCACAGGGAGGACGTTAGCTTAGCTGCTATCAATAGCTAAATGACGCTAAATGTAGCTAGCTCACTGTGTACAACAGACAATCGAGCATGTAAACAGTAAATACATTTCAGTGAGAGCTTTAACAGGATTCGTAGCTAACCAGTTATTTCAGGATTACCACAGACTAGTCACAAATCCAGAGCTGGTGATCTCCTGAAAACTGTGTTGAGCCTCGAGCTGCCTTTGAATTCTTTCTTTTGGCCTGAAGAGAGGAACGTGTGGACCTCGTCCACCGACCAGGACCAGGACTTTTGGGGCTTTCTGTGCGATTCCATTTCTCTGGAGTGAGGAGGACATAATGTAGCCAAAGCAGAGCCGAGCAGAGCAGCCGGTTTTAAAGATGGCGGTTGAGTTGTTTTTGCCAAAGGGTCAGATGTCGCTTCCAGTGACGACACTCGTTGACCAATCAGTGTAAGGCAGTGGGCCGACGTGACGTCATAGTATCGGTACGGCGCGCATGGAACCGCAGTCGAGGTGTTGCGAAAAAGTAACGCAAACTCCGGGACTATCCCTATTGGAAATGCAAAATAAGCGCGTTGTACCATAGTGAAACAAACCAAACTGACACTCTGGAAAAGCGGCATTAGAGACTCCGCTTTCTTGCACTCAGAGAAGCCGGTGATCCCCGTGGAGATCCGTAGGAGACACAGAGGCTCCAAAGGAGGCCGAAAGAGGGAGAGGAGGCTGTACTTCCCCTTCATCATCATGGGGAACGTACGGTCCATCTCGAATAAGACCGAGGAGCTGGCAGCGCTGGCCCGCCATCAGAGGGAGTACAGACAATTTGATTAATATGTTTTTCTGAGACGTGGCTGTGTGGAAATATACCGGACTCTGTAGTCGCGCTGGAGGGATTTAAAGCGCGGAGGGCAGTGGAAAGAAGAAAGGCGGGGGGTCGCGGTGTACGTGAATGAGAAGTGGTGCAACCCGGCTCATATTCATGTTATTAAATGTACATGTACCCAGGACCTGGAGCTGCTCGCTCTGAGCATGAGACCCAGATATCTGCCGCGCAAGTTCTCGAACACCGTGGTTCTGTGTGTTTACATTCCTCCGTCAGCAGATGCTGCTGTATTTATGTATATATTTTTCTCTATTCACTTTACCAACTTAGACTAGACTCATGTGTACAACAGTTAATTCTGAGTATTAAAATCTAATTTTTGGCCTTCCGTCACACTTTTGTACCCTTTAACCTCATTGTAATGTTATTTAAGAACTATTTAAGAACTTTAATCTGCAGTTCAGAAAAGGCCACATTTGTGCAAGTTGATGAACCAAACAATGAAAATCTGAGAACACATGTCATGTAATAAGATCATATTTGTTCTTTTAAATTTAAGCATTACACTGTAAATTCTTGTTTTGACTTTTAGTTATCTCAACCCATAATATTGAGTTAAATCAGCATGTTTTTCCCAAAAAGCTATCACAAATCGAAATCATGAATTGAAACAACTCTTCAGCAGTAAACGTAAAAATCCAATTCAAGATAACTTGTTGAGTTAATTGACTTGATTATTCTTGGTAAACACTTTTAATTGAGGACGTCATCACGTCTGCGTGACACGGAAGCAGACTCTTTGCGCCCATGACCGCTTGGTTGTAGCAGAGGTTGGGACTTTTGGCATCTTCCTCACATCTTTCTTTGGTAAGTAAACTCTTTGATCTGTTGTAGACAGCTGTATGTCTTGCAAAATAATCTAAGATATCAGCCTTAGCGATAGGCTGTCGTCGTGAACCTGCGAGAATGGCGGAGGTGGACCGTGTTGTTCGTGCCTTCAAAGCAATGTAAAGAGAAAAGAAACTTCGAGTTTTTTGTTGATAGGTCACATAATCATACGCTAAATATCTGTGTTGGTGCTATATATGTGGGTATTCAACTTTCTATTCAATTTTGAGTGGGTTTGTGTTTATAGTGGGACTATTTCTTTGACGTTCGTTGTACTGCGTTCAAAGATACTGTCGCCTTTGACGGCTGCTGTTTGTTTGGTCCTTCTTCACACACCGGGAGTGACATGTGAGCTGTGTTTACTGCATTACTGAGTCCTAACCAGTACAAAAGTGCCATGGCTTCGGATACGCTGTACAGATCTAATCCGTTATACTTTCCGTTACAGTCTGTTTGTTTCGGTGAATGAGATGCACACAGTGGCCGCTGATACACGCACGGTCCCCGGGTGCCGCTGGACTACAGCACTCGCTCGGGACCAGCGGGACCCGGCTCTTCACTCACGGCATGTACTTGTGTGCGTGCGCGCTCGCGGAGGCTGCGCAGGAGAGACCGGTTTCTCCAGTGGAGCCTGCGCAGGTATTGATTTATTTGCACATACGACAAAAAAAGCGATGTACAACTTTACATTTGACTGGTAGCTACTCATTTAGCAGCATAGCATGTCGCACGGTAATGTTAACCAGCAGTTTTAGACCCATCTATGAGCATTGTGCAACGTAAAGTGCTGCTCATTTTGTTTTCACGTGATGGACTCATTTTAATGCCTCTTATTTTCTACCGCAGGAGTACAGCGAGTTCACACTGTCCACTGGTGGAGGCTCCTGGATGACTTGAATCAGGTCTGAACAAAATGTGTTTTATACATGGCATCTGTTCTGTTTGCTTAGCCATTCAGAATAGCTCCAGTAGTATGCTTGTTGCAAGAAATCCACATTTTACACTCTGAACTTAATTCTATTATATTTCTTGTATAATTCACATTTAGCATGCCTTTACTGCTAGATGGACAGTTTTGTTGTGGATTATCTACAATAAAGACCAAAAGGAAACTTTCTATTAAAGGACTAATTTTAGGTATATTTCCTCTTTGTTCCATGCCAATCATGCTGTGTATTTATAAGTGCACAGACAAAGGTCATACTGTGCTTTGTACTTTCATATTGGTCACAGTTTTCAAAAACCTTTCACAGCCTTTTTCTTGGACCATGTGAGGTGCTACAAAGTCTGGTGGTGGCTGAACCCCTACACTCCGTTGGCATCATACTATGTGCTTGGAAGATATCTGATCTTAAGGTATGTGTGACAACATAAATATCATTCATTACAATCACAACTTTGAAACACTTTGATCTCTTAAGTTTTCACATGCATATGAGGCAAAGATGAAAAACATAGACTGGAGATGGTTGAATGAACAGAGAACACATATTTGCTCTGAAGAAGAGAGATTGTCCAGGATGAACCCCTTGTTGCAGATTTCTAGAAAAGGTGACTGGCCCTGTTCTTTGCACGTTATGTGAATTGTTGGAACAATGTAGATTACTTTAAGGCAGGGATTAAAGAGTTGCGTCTAGGTGACGGATTTCCGTCAAATTAAATTGGTCTGGAAAAAAAAAAATATATATATATATATAATGATAATACACACAATGAAAAGATTGATTATAAAAATAATATATAGTAATACATATACGTGTGAATCTGTTTTTTATATATATATATATCGATGTATAATAATAATTTGAATATAATTGTATTTATACGTATATAGAATTAATAAGTAATTTAATGACGAGTGGGCCTTGAACGTGCCGTGGCCACATGAGCGCTCCGCAAATGAATCAAGGCAATGGGACGTAGCTGAGCTCACGCGTAAATGAAGACGCGATGAAGTTAGCATTGGTAACACGGAGGTGAAAGTTTCTGGAAACTGCACGGAGCTTTTGAAAAGGAGAAGAGGAGGAAAATTGAATCTCGACCGGAGCAATAACAGCAGCAGATCCGGACTGGAAAGCTGGGCGCGTAATAGACTAAAGGTAATTAACGTTTACCAAACGCAATGCTATTTTACTTAACGGAATGTACAAAACAGACTTTGCTGCGACTGGGAATGGGAACAAACATGTCTTGGTGAGCTTTTGATATTGTCTTGTTTGCGATCTTCTTGCAAAACTCAGCGTGATGTAAAAGAGCCAATCAACAGGTCATGGTGCGAAAAGATGAAAGTGGCCGGTGCTTGTTCGTACTTTGCCATAAAAAATTGCATGTATGGGAGTAATGAGAACAACGTTTTGATTCGCCACCAGCTCAAAACTGCGCACAAGGCAGCTGTTTGTGCACTTTCCCACACTTCATCTTTACCTGGTGCATCAGCAACAACTGACACTAGGCTTGCTATGGCAGACCGTGTCTGTGGCTTTATCGCAGAAAATAACGTTCAGAATAACACTACCGCTGGTAGATTTATTTAAATCATTTGCAGTTGATCGAAGTGCACTGTGCACTCAAACTTGATAGGGAAACCTTTTTCTTAAATATTGACGTGTCCACAAACAAATGTGGACAGAATTTTATCGTCCTTTTGCAATATTTTGACGAGGACAGAGCCAAAGTGTTGACGCTCCATATCGCCTCAAGTAAAGCTACTCTCACTAATATTCTGTCAAAAAGTTGACTCGTTGCTTGATCCACTTATATTTCATATCAAAATACACTGTATATCTTTGAAGAATTCATTTGAGCTGTATTCAATATACAATCTATTATACAATAATATATTGTAATTAAAATATAACTTGGTCCTGCATATTTTTTTGCTTTAACCCCTGCTTTAAGGTTATGTAGTGTAACCACTCATGTGTCCATCGCCTCCCATTTTTAGATTTAAGTTTGCGCGCCGTACATCTGTCTATCTCGGAGAAACGCTCATCTCTGGAATTGACCAAGACTTAAACGGTTTCTTGAAGCCCTAAGTGTGCCATCCCGGGGCTGTCCAGTCTCCTCACAGCCTGATGTAAGTGATTCAAATAATTCACACATTTTGATTTGTATGTTTTTGGGTCAAGCTTCCAAAGTGTAAATCTATTCTTGATTTCAAATCAGGGCCCAAAACATGGGTTTAATAAAAGTGAACCTTTACCTTTAAACTCATAAATGTTCCCCAAAATTGCAGTGTCGCGTTTTTGAACTATGAAATCTTGTACACATTCCATGCACTGCTGTAATGGGTAGCTTTTCAATGCTTTGATTACCCATTTCAACAAATGTTGACCTTTTTCCAATTAGTGACTCAACTTGCCAACTTTTGCTTCTGTTCAGAGATTAACATGCTGACTGTAATTGTATTCTAATGCTGTGCATATTTTTATACTTTTTGAATATGGAAATGGTTTTGGTTTCATTTATTTACATCTCCAAATCTTTTCCAATCATTACACTAATCTGCTTAGTAAAATAACTTAAGTCAAATTCAATCATTCCATGTTACATCCCCCACCTGGCCACCAACTTTTGTTTTTTCAATTTGACCTAATGTTTACCTCTTTCTAAAACTCAATCTGCAGAATTAATTTTTTATATCCAGGCATATGACTGGATTAGTCGACCTAAATGAATCAAATTTGCAGCAGCCGTTGATCATAAACCCAAGTTCTCTAAGTAAATGGTTGTCCTCAGTAATAGAAACTCTTAACCACCACCCATCTTTACAGTTGTGGGGGAAATTTCACCCAGATTACATAATGCTTTTCAGTTTGAGGATTTATAATATTTTTTTCTTTCTTTCTAGGAGAACTCTTGACAACTCACTCTTTTAAGAGGGCCGTCCTTCTACATGGACTTCCACATTTCTTCGGGGACGATTGTTCTTCATTTGTTAAAGCTGTAGAGGTAAGATTTCAACATCTACGTCTAAACTTTGATCTATATAATATTAACATTTTTATTTGATCAAAGGGCATATCATAAAGGAATAGGCCACCGTTTTTACATACTGACATATGTTCTTACCTTAGACTAGTTGATATGTACCTGGCTGGTCTTTGTCCGTGCGCTCTGTCATGCAAACGGAGCACAAACACAGCCTCTTCCACAGACTGTATATATAGTAACGAAATCAGCTCCCGTTAAACTCTTCCACATGTTCCCTATTTAAATACAGTTACGTGATGTATTACACTACAATGTAGCATGTCAATTTTTTCAGCGGATAAAAAGGGGTACTATATTGTGAGGCGTAATAACACGAGGAGCACTACGTCCACGCACTAACTCCTAAAGACTTTTCTCCCCCTCAGCTTGCTTCTATTGACGGAAGTTTGTGCTCCGTTTGCATGACAGAGCACGGACAAAGACCAGACCGGGACATATCAACTAGTCTAAGGTACAAACATATGTCAGTATGTAAAAACGGTGGCCTATTCCTTTAAAGGATTTGTATACATTTTAACCTATTTCAGCTTTGTCTGAAGGTCCAGATCTATTTTAACCCTCTATGCACATGGGTCATTTTGGGGAACTTTCCTCGCCTGGTTTTCTTTGTGTATAATTGTTCATAAAACAGTCATCTTTTGATGCAGAGTCAAGCAGTATACTTTGTTTTTTTCAGTACAACCTGGGGTTTTAGAATATTTATATTGTAAAGCTGTCATATGAATTATATAAAAATTATGGAATCATGAAGACAAAGAAAAAAATCAAACGGAAAATCAATTTCACAAAAATTTATTGAAAAAAAACAATGAAATGCTATAAACAACTTTTTACACTGCATAGAAATGTTATTTATGGTCTTGGGGATAATGGGGAAAAAAAATTTAATCTCTAACTATTATACTTTTTACAAAATTCCACTATAAAAGCAAAAAACTCTGTACTCCTGATGCCCTTCCTGAAGCAGTGTGTCTATAATGCTGGGGTTGCTTCTGTAGTACAGCTGTAAAAAACGTAAAACATAAGAAACTGAGCCAAAAAAAAAGAAAAACATCAATTATTTATATAATACATATATTTATATACATCATATACACATAATGTCATTTTACTGTATTTATTATCGTCTTTATCAATAATGCGCACTCTTCAGCCAGTTATTGCAACCGCAGCTGTAGTTTCAACTGTGGGAGAACAAGTAAACGCAGAGGAGTGAGAGATCTCACTCTCTGACGATCTTTGGCAGTCCCCGTGTGTTTGTATCTCACAGCTGTTTGTACCTCACGGGTCACGCTTTGGACACGGACTTTCAGACAAACGTAGTTTATCCTCCGTGCATCGTTTTACCGTTCGCGAGTAAATTGATCATTTGTAAAACATCGGCGCCGATGCACGCGGGCATATAGGGTTAAGTTTGAATAAAAACTGCAGACTCTAAATTATGAAGAAAAAACAAACGTGCCCCTCGCTTGGCCTAAAGAGCCACAATCGGCCCTCACAAGACACAGATGTGGGCATATTACTTTAAGCAATCTTTGAAGGCATACGTACATGCATAATTAGTCATTTGCCTCCACCAAGTGAGCTCAGTTTGGGTTTAAACTCATGTTTGGACTTTTGTCCTTTTTTGATATGAATGCATACATTTGTAATGTTATGTTACAGAGCGCTGATGATGAGAAAATAACAAAGAGATCAAAGTGGGTCCTACTTCTGAAGAGGTCTGAATGTGTCCGTCGTGCTGAAGGAATCTTGGTGATATTCCCACAGCCATGGCAATGCTCATGGGGTTTACAGTTTGAACATGGACTATCCCAGAGAAATGAGGTACACGTTGGAACTCCTTCAGAAACAGAGGTGGACATTGTTCTTCACTAGTTCATGGTGTGAGGAAAATGTAACAT